TTGGTTGTTGGTGATGGTTGTTGTTGGTGGTGGTGGTGGTGGTTGATTTGGTGGTGGTCCTGCCTACCTACCTACCTACCTACCTACCTTTCCCCTTCCTCCCTTCCCTCCCACCTTCTCTCCCTAAACACTGGCTAATATGAGAGAGAGAGCAGAGAGAGTCGGTCGGTGGGTTGGTTGGTTGGATTTCCCCGTCTGCCTGCGGTCTGGTGCCTTCCAGTGACTGCTTCTGAGTGACCGAGCACCGGGGTGTTAGGGGTGGAGGGAAGGAGGAGGTAGGGGTGGAGGGAGGGAGAGGTAGGGTGGAGGGAAGGAGAGGTAGGGGTGATGGGGGCGAGGAGGTAGGGGTGGAGGGAGGAGAGGTGGGGTGGAGGGAGGAGAGGTAGGGGTGGAGGAGGGAGAGGTAGGGTGGAGGGAAGGAGTGTGTGCAGTGTCAGTGTCTAGTAAGAAGAGAAACAACTGAGACCCTGCAATTGTGTGTAAATGAGGCAGAAAGTCAGATCAGTAACTTGGTCACATATGGCAGCAGGGTCAACCATTAGACAACACATTATGCTTCCAATACCTTCCCAGTGCCTCCCTGTTTGATAGCTGCCTCCTACCTATTGTCGCTACACTGTTAGTTAATATAGTAGTGAGGTTGTCTGGTCTCCTAGTGCTTCCTTCCTTCCTTCATTCATTCATTCTTTTGCCAACTTTCTTTTTCTTTCGCATTTCTTGTTCTTTTCCTTGTTTTATATTTCTTCTGACATCTCTCACTCTCTCTCTCTCTCGGGGGTGGGGGGGTGGAATGACGGAAGTGAGAGCAGAAATTACAGGTGAATGAAGGTAGAGGGTCAGTGGTGGTGGTCAACTTAACGGTGTATCGAGCGTGTGTGTGTCGAGGCTGAGTGTGTCGAGGCTGAGTGTGTGTCGAGACTGAGTGTGTTATGAACGTGTGTGTGTGTGTATTCAGAATCTAAGTGTACGTGTATAATGTATCCTAGTATGTGTAGTGTATAGTATAATAATGTATGTATGATGCATTATATGTCCTAGCGAGGTCACCGTGTTACAGAATGGATATAGAATCCTTGGAAAGAATCCAGAGGAGAATGACAAGACTAATCCCGGGCATTAGGAACCTTGAATACAGAGACAGGTTAAAGCATCTTAATCTGCACTCCCTCGAGAGACGTAGAGTGAGGGGCGACATGATAGAGGTGTATAAGTGGAAGTCAGGGCTGAACAAAGGGGACATTACAAAGGTACTCAAACTATCCAACCAGGAGCGAACTCGTAACAATGGTTTTAAATAAGACAAATTTGGATTTAGGCGCGAAATAGGTAAACATTGGTTTGGTAGTAGAGTAATGGAACAAGTTACCAAACATGATCATTAACTCGAATAACCTGGATAGCTTCAAACATACTGTAGGTTGGATGGATATATGAGCAATAAGGGTTGGGTGTAAATGGAACTGTCCAGTATGACCCGCTGCAATTTCCTCCATTATTATGTTCTTATGTAAGGATCACCCCCCATCCTCACCCCCTCCCCGCCCCTCAGCTAGTCCTTGATACACCCCCACCCCACCCCCACCCCCACACCCCCCCACCAATCTTCCCTGTGTTCGAGCCTTGATACAAGTCACCAGTCGTATGGGTAAGACTGGTTGGGTGTTAGTCTTCTTCCCTTCCTTCTCCTTCTTTCTCTTCTTCCCTTCCCTTCCTTCCACCTCTCCCTTTCCCCCCCATTGGCACAGACCTTGGGTAGAAGTAGTGAATTGTGGAACTAAGTAACGATTGGACTGGCTGGTCCTTGTGACGGATTGTCCCTGAGTGAAGGTATCGTGACGGCGTGTTAGACCACAGGAAATTGACGAGGAGGAGAGAGGAGTCAGGTGGATGGAGGGGAGGGAGGGGGAGGGGTGAGGGGGAAAGAGGAGGGGTGGGGAGAGAGGGGTGGGGGAGAGAGGGAGGGGGGGAAGAGAGGTGAGGGGTGTGGGGAAGAGAGGTGAGGGGGAGAGGTGAGGGGTGTGGGGAGAGAGGTGAGGGGGTGTGGGGAGAGGAAGAGGGGAGAGAGGTGACGGGGTGTGGGGGGGAGAGAGAAAGGAGGGGGGTGTAATTACCATTGGTCAATATTTGGTCATTAAGTCAACTAAGGACCGTCCGTGTATGTGTGTGTCATGTTCGTGGTCCGTGAGTCATGATGTCACTTAATGGTCCGTGGTACGTGGTGGTACTTAATGGTCCGTGGCATCTTCCCATCCATACATACATACATACATACATACATACATACACACCCACCCACCTTCACAACTGCCTGCCTGCCTGCCTGTCTGCCTGTCTGTCTGTGTGTTTGTTTGCCTCCCCTAGTAAATAGTTGATCAGCTTCTTATTGTAAACAGCACTGTGTATATATTAGTGTGTATGGTTGTATGTGTGTATGGTTGTATGTGTGTATGGCTTGTGTGTGTGTGTGTATGATTGTGTGTACGTGTCTGGTTGTTACTCTTGACGCCGGGGTAGTTAACATGCCTGTGGTTAACGAGTCGATACGCCAAATTACCACCCCCTCCTCAACTAACCCTCCCCTTTCCTAATTACCCTTCCTAACTACACCCCCCCCTCCTCAACAGCCTCGTTCATGGGCCTGACGGTCGTTAACCCCCGGCTGTTTATTTGCGTCTGATCACTGATGCGGTAAGTTTGTTGGTCTCTCTCTCTCTCTCTCTCTCTCTCGGGGGAGGTAGAGAGAGTGAGGGAGGTAACTATGGTAATGAGGGAGGGAGGGCCTCTCCTTCGCGTGTGCTCAGTCATCTTCACTACTAGGCGGTCCCTGCTGATTGGATATGGTCTTAAAGGCGGAAAAAATCGTACGGTGATATATTTATTTTTTTTTTTTGGGTGTGTTGTGTTGTGTTGTATGTGTGTTGTGCAGTGTGTTGTATGTATGCAAATGCATTACAGGGGGATCTAAATAAACTGCAGGGGTGGTCTGAGAAATGGCAATGAAATTCAACACCAGCAAGTGCAGCGTACTTAATATTGGAAGAACAAATACTTATAATGTATACAGCCTTAACAATGATCAACCTAGAGAAGTCGACTTGTGAAAGAGACCTAGGGTACGAAGTTCGGACCTACGGCTCAGACAAACAGGCAAGTTAATGTTCGAAATAAGGCAACAGAGTATTGGGTTTTATATCTAGAAGTGTAAGTAACAAGAGGCAGATAGTCTTATTGCAACTATGCCTGCTGAATAGCCGCACCCTCGATTGGTGCGGTTCGTTCCCCAGTCTCCTATTATAGAATGGCTATCAAATTCACCTGAATGCAGCGAAGAAACACAAAATGATTCCGGGACCTAGAAACCTTCATATCAGGATATAGTTAAAGAAACTTAACTTGCATTCCCTAGAAAGACGAAGAGTGCGGGGAGATATGATAGAAGTATTTAAGTGGGTGAAAGGAATCAATAAAGGGGATATAGATAAAGTTCTTATAATATCCGAGCAGGATAGGACTCGGAGCAACGGATTCAAGTTGGATAAGTTTAGGTTTAGGAGAGAGATAGGAAGGAACTGGTTCACTAATAGGGTGGTGGACTAGTGGAACAAGCTTAGCAACTTTGTAGTAAGTGCGGGAACTCTGGAAAGTTTCAAAAGGAGGCTGGATAGATTCATGGATGATAGAGAGTGGTAGTAACTCTCGACAGGAGCTGCCATGCACAGGCCTATTGCAGACTCCTTATGTTCTTATGTTGTGTTGTGTTGTATGTGTGTTGTGTAGTGTGTTGTGTTGTGAAGTGTGTTGTGTTGCTATGCGTGTGTGTGTTGTGGTCCTAATGGAGTTCAAATTACACTGAGACTCTACTTTAACTAGATACATTAATTTTGTCTCCTACCTGTAGTTAAGTGAAGGTGTCTAGTTAAGGTAGAGTCTCAGTGTTAATTTGGTCTCCTAACTGGTGCCATATAACGGGATTCACATCTAATGGAACCTCGATATAACGGATTTTCTTCTCCATATAGTCGTTAAATCGAGGTTTCACTATATTAATGACTAACTGGTACTGCAGCTATGATAATTACAGGTAATGTTTGGGAGTCTATCCTCGCCAGGTATGTTTTGTTGGCCAATGATAACCTTAATTAACACACCTGTTGACCCATACCTGTCCTTCTGAGGGTGATTAAGTAATGGTGTAACGTGTTCTGTACCTGTGGTGGTGATTTAGTCCAGGTGTGACCTTAATTCACTGAACACTTGGCAATGTGTTTTCTACCTGTGGGTCATGTTTGTGTTTATTACCTGAACAGTGCTGAACAATGCTGAACAATGATGAACAATGCTGAACAGTGCTGAACAATGATGAACAATGCTGAACAGTGCTGAACAATGCTGAACAATGCTGAACAATGCTGAACAGTGCTGAACAATGATGAACAATGATGAACAATGATGAACAATGCTGAACAGTGCTGAACAATGCTGAACAATGCTGCTTTTGGGGGAGATTGTGAAAGAAAGGGAGAGGTTTTACGTAAGAGGGAGAGGAAGGGAAGGAGGGGGGAAGGGAGGGGGCAAGGGAGGGAGGGGGGGGCAAGGGTGGAGGGGCAGTAGACTGGTTGTAAACATGTTATCAATAATATAGTGTGACTGTCCAGGGAAGTACCTGTGTAAACCAATTACCTGAATGACTGCCTGTCTTCCTCCCTCCCACCCCTCCGTCCCTCCCTTTACCCCTTCCTCCTTCCCTCCCCCCCCCATTACTTCCTCCCTCACCTCATTCTTTCCCCTCCTTTCACCCTCCTCTCACCCCCCCACTCACACACAACCACGGGTATTTCTCAGTGTTTATCACAGGTGTGTCTCAGATATATAGTAATAAGGACCCAGGTAATATTTCTCACCTGTCTTATTATTATTATCATTATTATTATTATTATTATTGTCATTATTATTATTATTATTATCATCATTATTATTATTATTATTATTATCCCCTGCAGTGTGATGCAGTAAGATGAAGACGTTGGTGTCTTTGCTGTTGGTGGGCGTGGTGTTGGTGGGCGTGACAGAGGCTCATGTGGCTCTCACCTTCCCCCCCGCCCGCAAATATGACCTGGACTTCCTGGACAGCGTCAGGACACAGGGGCCTTGTGGCATGCCTAAAGGTGGGTGTTCTGATCCCTCTCTGTTTACCTTTTTTGCCTCTCTTGTTTACATAATTACCTAAGGTGTTATGACTAAAGGTGATTATCCCTCTCTGTTCTTACATACACACCATACGTTCATACAGACATACCATACGTTCATACATACACACCATACGTTCATACATACACACCATACGTTCATACAGACATACCATACGTTCATATAGACATACCATACGTTCATACAGACACACCATACGTTCATACATACACACCATACGTTCATACATACACACCATACGTTCATACAGACACACCATACGTTCATATAGACATACCATACGTTCATACATACACACCATACGTTCATACAGACATACCATACGTTCATACATACGAGTCCACATATTTTAGTTCCCATCGTATCAAAAACAACACAACGCTTCCTCCCATTTGGATGTTCTTTATGAATTACTTCAATAAGCCAGTTATCTAAGGGGCCCGTCTGTGTACACCTGTTAAAACACACCTGTAAATGACAATGTGTACACCTGTTAAAACACACCTGCGAATGATAATGGTGTCTCTTTGTAAACATGATGGTGCCTTATATACAGGTCACGACATGGTGGTGGACGGGGGTTGTGGTGGTGGTACAAACTATATTAAGTGACCAAGGCGACGATAATATTTACATGTGATCTTTATACCTTTAGAGTAAAATAAAATGATTGAGACAAATAAAATATGCAAATAACACCTTAAATAAAAACGACAAACGTAAGAAAATTAATAAAAAAAATATTAATTTGACCCAAAAATCGAAAAAAATATAAAAAATAAATAAATCAAAATAGAAATTGACAAAGGCAGAGAACTGGTCCCTCGTCACGCCTGGTCACGTGGGCACCTGCAGGTATGATCGCTTGTCCTTGGTGTTTACTGTGGGTATATAAGACGTAAGTGTCTCTGTGGCTTAACACTGTCTTGTGGTGACGGCTGAACTGGCTGGGCTGGTGGAGGGGGGAGGAGGAGGTAGTTGGGGGGGAGGGAGAGAAGTTTGGGGGGTGGTGGGGGAGTTGGGGAGGGAAAGGAGTTTGGGGGGGAATGGAAGTTGGGAGGGTGGGGAAAGGAGCATAAAAGGGGTTGAAGATTATAAGTAGTTTGATAGGGAAGGTAAGACAAAGGAAGGGGGTTGAGAATCATTGTGTGGGAGAGAGTCAGGATGGAGGACAGGTGTTGAAACAGGTACAGCACCTGGGGGGAGGGGGGAGGAATGTGGGAACGGGGGTTGATGGAAGAGGGAGGGGGGGGGCTTATAGTCGTCTTAAGGCACCACCTGGTAAACCTGTTCATCCTCCAGGTAGTTTAACCCTCGAGACCTGTTCAAGGTGAACCTCGACTGAGAGCCACTACCACTCTACCATGGAGGTCAACCTAACCTAACATGTTACCTAACCTAACCTTAACATAATCTAACCTACAATATAGTTAACCTAATCCAATCAAAGCATCGTACTCAAGAGGCTAAGTCCCAGTACTCGAGGGTCTAACCCTACGGCCTAGACAACAGTGCGTTAATGTTCGAAATAAGGCAAACAGAGTATTGGGTTTTATATCTAGAAGTGTAAGTAACAAGAGTGCAGAGGTCTTATTGTAACTATATCTTGCGCTAGTTAGGCCGCACCTCGATTATGTGGTTCAGTTCTGGTGCCCTTATTATAGAATGGATATCAACTCACTAGAGTCGGTGCAGTGAAGAATGACAATAATGATTCCGGGACTTAGAAACCTTCCATATCAGGATAGGTTAAAGAAACTTAACTTGCATTCCCTAGAAAGACGAAGAGTGCGGGGAGATATGATAGAATTATTTAAGTGGGTGAAAGGAATCAATAAAGGTGGATATAGATAAAGTTCTTATAATATCCGAGCAGAATAGGACTCGTAGCAACGGATTCAAGTTGGATAAGTTTAGGTTTAGGAGGGAGATAGGAAGGAACTGGTTCACAGAGAGTGGTAGTAACTCTCGACAGGAGCTGCCATGCACAGGCTAACCGGCCTATTGCAGACTCCTTATGTGTATGTGTCAGTAAGTGTGTGTGTGTGTGTGTGTGCATCTATGTGAGTGAGTGTGTTCAGTGTGTGTGTGTCCATGTATGTGAGTGAGTGTGTTCAGTGTGTGTGTGTGTGATGAGTGTGCACAGTGTAGGGGGGGGACTACACAATATGTGTGCTTGGTCGTGCATGACTACTTAAGCTAGTACTGTGAATCGATGTATGCACTTATGTGTGTGTGTGTGTGTGTGTTTCTGGAGGGGGGTTTAGTGAAGGCGTGGGCGTGGAAGAGGCGGAAGGTCAGGACTCCCGTTGACTGCCGATTCCGTTCCCACGACCTGTGTGTGTGTGTTTAAGTGGGTGTGTGTGTGGACGTGTGTGTGTGTGTGTAGGGTTAAGTGGGTGTGTGTGTAGGTTTAAGTGGGTGTGGGTGTGTGTATGTATGTGTGGACGTGTGTGTGTAGGTTTAAGTGGGTGTGGGTGTATGTAATAATAATAATAAACGGTTTATTAACAGAGTTGCAGCCAGTGGCTGAAAATATACAGACTTACATTTAATTTAGACATAATGATATGCATTGAATACATTTACAGGGCTGTACAGTACATAAATCAGGAGTTGTTTATTATTTTAACAATAGATGGGATGGTGCTGTTCTTATATCTATCGGTGCGGGCTCTTATGGGCTGAATTTTGTTGTAGTGGCGGACTGCGCGAGTTGGGTGGGGGGCTGCAGGTGGCGCGATGACGAGGGTGGTGCAGTAGTCCACTGCCAAACCTTTCCAGTGCTTGGTGGTGGAGGTCACTGAGGGATGGCATTTCCAGGGTGGAGAGAGCGTTGGTGTAGCCGGAGTATTCTGCGCCGAGCATGATTCTGCAGGCCCTTTTCTGTACCTTCTCTAGCTGACGTTGTTGGGTGGAGTTGAGAGAAGACGACCAGGCTGGTGACGCATACGTTAGTTTGGGGAGAATAAAGGCGTTGTAGATGGTCCTCAGCTCTGGCGTGGGTGTCCCAAGTGACCTAAGTCTTCGTAGCATGTAGAGACGGTACGAGGCTGCCTTGACTGTGGACGTGTGTGTGTATGTGTGTGTAGGTCTAAGTGGGTGTGGGTGTATGTGTGTGTATGTATGTATGTGTGGACGTGTGTGTATGTGTAGGTTTAAGTGGGTGTGGGTGTATGTGTGTGTATGTATGTGTGGACGTGTGTGTGTATGTGTAGGTTTAAGTGGGTGTGGGTGTATGTGTGTGTATGTACAGTATGTGTGGACGTGTGTGTGTGTGTATGTGTAGGTCTAAGTGGGTGTGGGTGTATGTGTGTGTATGTATGTGTGGACGTGTGCGCAGATGGTGGAATGTTTGTGCGTGTAGGTGTTGGTGTGTGTGTGTGTGTACGTAGGTGTAGTTGGTGTGCGTGTAGGTGTGAGTGTAGCACCACAATACACACAGCCAATAAGGTCCACCCAATGCACCACTTAACTCTACACCGTCACCCTTATCGATTTACGTGGCTTAACACTACCTTCACCCTACTGCACTGTGGCTTAGCACTCTTCTCCCCCGGTATTATTAGTGTTATTTCACCTGTCTGGGAGCAATTTATCAAGGTGTCATTGTTAATTAATCGGGCGTATCAGGTGTGAGTGTGTGCGTGATTCTCCCTGATTGGGTGTACCTTTGTGACGTCATAGGGGAATCGGTGACGTCAGAGGGGTTGTGTGATGTCATAGGGGATATATAGACGACATGTCATTCTTTGATGTCATAGAGGATTTATGACGTCATAAGAATGTGACGTCATAGGGTTTGTGTGTGTGACGTCACTGTTTACGTAAGTGTTTGCAATGTTTACCTGGTGGTGGCGCCGTGGTTGGGTGGGATTCGAACCCGCGACCTGGTAAGTTAATAGAATATGAAGGTACACACACACACGCACACGCACACACACACACACACACACACAGGTCCCAGGGGTCATAATCATACGCACATTACTGCCTGAACTGACCTGACTAATGGAGGTTAATGATGATGTAGTGTTACTGTACGTGACCTGTGCTACTGGCCAAGGTCAGGTCGGGGGTCAATCATGGTCTTGACTGTCTGACCTGACTTATGGAATATTTTATAATGAGGGTTTAGTGTTATTGTGACCTTTGACCCCTATTATTGGTCAGGTTAGGTTAGGTTAGGTTTGGTTAGGTTAAGTTAGGTTAGTGGTGAGGGAAGGAGCTGGAAGAGAGAGAGATTGATGGAGGGAAACTAGGGGGGGGGGTAGTTAAACCCTTTATCTTAGTTAAACCACGCATCCTAAAACAGTTAAACCACGCATCCTAAAACAGTTAAACCACGCATCCTAAAACAGTTAAACCACGCATCCTAAAACAGTTAAACCACGCATCCTAAAACAGTTAAACCACGCATCCTAAAACAGTTAAACCACTCATCGTCCTCCACAAAAATAGTGAAACATTAACGTGTTCTGAGACTAGATTTCGTGAGTGTTTGTTTTACCCAGGATGAACAAGGGAGGTGGTGTAGTTCATCCTGGAGTGGAATGTGGCCAGTTAGTCAGTCAGTCGAGTGTTGGTAATGACAGTCACTTGTTTAGACTGTCTGTAATGGAGGAGGAATTGAGTGTATTACGAGTGACTGGTTGACTGTTTGATAATGATGATAATAATAATATTATTCTGATCCAACCCCTCACTCCCTCCCTCACCCCCTCCCCTCACTCCCCTCCCCTCACCCCCCTCCCCTCACCCCCTCCCTCACCCCTACCACCACCCCCTCCCACCCCCTCACCCCTACCACTGCCCCCTCCCTTACCCCTGCCTCACTCTACCACCACCCCCCCTCCCTCACACCACCCACCACCACCAATTACCCACCCCGTGTTACAATTTCCCAGTGCAATAAATAGTGTGTGTTACAACTACCAGGTGATTCTTGTTAATTGTT